TTGAACAGATATTTTTTTCTTAACTAGATATATCTCTAAATTAACATCTTATCTATATGGTCTGTGCATAACATAAAGAAACATATACAAAGTATTATAGTGTTTTGATTTCCATTTCCAGGTTTTGGGCTGATGCCCAGTTCTGCATATTACACACAAATCATACCAACATGCTGAATTTTAGCAGATTTTGATTTTTCTGCCGCACTGGTGGACAATAAATACCCTCTCAATTGCTCGGTTATATTTCCAAAAACAGACCTCCCTCATAGTATTCTGTGAGATGGTGCTGCCACTATTGACAAGACTATTGACTATGGACTAGACTTGAAGATTTGTTTCGGTTCAAACTGCAATTCATCCGATTCAGATCCGAATGGGTGAGCTGTTAGATTGTCAAACTTCGAGCCAATATTTACACAAATCATGAACCAAACAAAACGAGGTAGGTATGGCCAAGCATGTTCATTTTGAATCATGATTCTGAATTCCATCATGGTGTCAAAAAAAAAAAATCACTGATGGGAAAAAAAGATGATTGATGGCTAGAGATGTCGTGAACTGTCCGCCGTACTGTTCGTGAACTGTCCACCGGCGAACAATAGCGTGTTCGCGTTGGGCGAACATATCCGATTTCCGGTCCGCCCCCTATACGTCATCATTGAGTAAACTTTGACCCGGAACCTCACAGTCAGCAGACACTTCCTGGGAGGGAGGGTCTGCTGCTGATTGGGTGGAATGTGTCTGCTGGCTGTGAGGTTCCGGGTCAAAGTTTACTCAATGATGACGTATAGGGGGCGGACCGGAAATCAGATATGTTCGCCCAACGCGAACACGCTATTGTTCGCCGGCGGACAGTTCGCAAACAGTTCGGCGGACAGTTCGCGACATCTCTATTGATGGCTAGGGAGCAGTCACTAAAATGCAGATTTACCTCACAGATCAAGTGAGAAGTGACCAAAAGAAGGAAAAAAGGAGGCGCAGTAAAAATAATCTATATCCAGTAGAGGAGGACGACCAGCACTCACGGACTTTTGAAGATAAAATTTTAATTCTTTATTGAAGATTCATTAAAAGAGGATGATCCTGATGAAAGTCCCGGAAGGGGACTGAAACGTCGGTCCATCCTCCTATCTTCAAAAGTCCATGAGTGCCGGTCATCCTCCTATACTGGATATATCGTTGTTCCCCCTGACTTCATGCACCCGGCTACTTTATCTAATTGCCTGAGTGTAAGGACTCTTTGGAATATATATATATATATATATATATATATAGAGAGAGAGAGAGAGAGAGAGAGAGAGAGATGTTTAAACTATATAAACATGGATTTATTTTTTTTAGTGCTCCTCTTTTTCCCTCTATTGGTTACTTTTTCTCACTTGATCTTTGAACTAAATGCCACAAAAATGCTCCTATCCATGTATTGCAAAATATATAGATAATTTTGACCCATTTTCATGTACTGTTTGGTTTATCTGTTTTGTATCCAGAATCTGGTTTCCATTACAGAAATTCTGCCAAACCAACATGTACAACATGAGTCTGATTTTAAAGTTTGTTATTTTTCTGTTAGAAACAAAACGTAAACATTTTATAAAATTATAATATTACTTGTTTTTGTAATTTTGTTTTAAGATTGTATAATTTTTTATTGATTAGCAAGATATAAACAAACACCAAAGGTACAGACTTGTTGCCAATTATAAAACATAATCTTACATTTGATAAATGCATAGAGTTATAATTTTGATTTACAACAAAAGCTAGGTATAGAAATAATTTGGATCGTGTGCATGAGCATTTTCATAACGTGTAAAGTAATTATATTCCCTGAAGTAATCCACATATTAATAAAACAACAAACAATCACAAACACTAGACGAGACAAAATGCAAAATAAATCTAAACCGGCCTAAATTTAGTAAATAGTTTTTTTGTTTTTTTTTTGAAATAATGATTTGGTGTCAAAATCAGTCATTGGGGATCATAATATTTCTCCAGATAGAAATTTATTAGATGAACAAACAAAGGGATTTACGTTAAGACTTTCAAATGATCATTAGTAAATCACATCCAGATGTAAATTTCAAACACCATGTATGTAAGACAAAACAAATTACATTTTAGGAGGATGATAAATTATGTAGGTTGATTAATATTAACAAAGGGATTTAATTAACATATGCATAATATTAACACTGATTTGTGTTTTTTCAAATAAAACAGGACATCCTATGACAACATCTATCATGACATACAGAATTAATTACCGGCTACAGTAAATTGTTATTTAGTATTAGAGAATGCATTTGATCATATTTCTCTGATTTTTTTTTGAACAGTTGCTCCATCTGTATTTCATGTAACAACCTACATTAAATTTAAGATCCTATGGGCAAACACATTTTGTTGTCATACCTTTTGTGTATAGTTGCTAATAAATTAATGGTTTATATTTTTTGTATTGCTTTTATAGCTTCTTAATCAGAGTCACTTTACAATTAGTAGATATAGTAAAACAAACAGCAAATAATAGACAAACTATTGAATCTGATTAAAAAAAGGATAAACAGGTTAGGTTAGGACTAGGGAAGCAAAACCATATAAACATCACTCGGCTGTACCTACTCAGTTTTTTTTAATTTTTATTTAAGAGCTAATGCGCCCAGGCTCCCCTAACGGTGGCAATTAGGCTTGTAACTTGGGGGATTCTGGCAATGGGCTGCATGCGCCTTATGGCTAGTTTGCGTTACTCCTTGAGGCAGAGGCTCTAGTAAGGCACTTGTTTAAGGTATAGGCATGTATACGCAGGCTGATAGCCTCCCATGGTCGGGTGGAAATATGTAGAACGCCGGTAAAGGAGGTCGAGGTCATGGGGGGTGGGGAGGAGGAGTGGAGGGGGACATGGATACTTTAACGGAGAGCTACATCTGAGGCCTACGGAGCCAACAACATAACATCAGAGGCAAGTTATATATTCACAGTCAACAGTAAGGAAAGGTAAAACTTAAACATTATTAAGGTGTAACATATTCAAGGCAGGTATGGCTCCAGAGTTCATGGTGGCAGTTCTGTCGCTGCGGGTACTCCTCTTCTAGGCACAAACGGGGTAATGTCCGCTACATTCCAGGCTGAGTGATCTGCTGATGGTGTCTGTATCCCTGGCAGGCCAAGGGATTGCAGGAAGGTTTGTGCTTCAGCAGGGTGTGATATGGCATATGTCTTGCCCAGTAGTCAACAGGGGCCCCATTTGTATGCAATAGAGTTCTCTTGGAGAAGCTGGGTAATTGGTTTAAGAGATTTCCTCCATGCCAAGGTATGCCTGGAAAATTCCAGGAAAAATGCCAGCTGGGCCCCCTCAAAGGAAACTGTGGGGGTGCCCCTGACTGCCCCCATAATAACACCACAGTCAGAGTCCCACACCAGTCTCAGTAGTACATCCCTGGGTACCTCTTGGGCTGCGTTGGTCACCTTGGTCAGTCTGAAGCACGAATCTACCACCAGTTGCTTGGCATGTTTGGGCACTAGGAGGATAGCGAGGAGCCTTCTGCAGTAGTGGGGGAGCTCTGCTCCTGAGATCGTTTCCGGCACCCCCCTTATCATCAAGTTTCGTGCCCTGGCTTTGTCCTCCATGTTGGCTATCAGGGCATGATGGTCTGCGCACTGCTTCTGCAGAGCTCCTATGGCAGCATCTGTGGCAGACTGTGCAAGCTTGGAGCCTGCCTTGCTTTCCTCTATTGCATGCATGCGCGTGGTGAGGGTGGTCACTGCTTCCCGGATTGGTGCCAGGTCCGCCCTGGATCTCAGTCATTAAAGCTTTTATGTCTGCCTTAGTGGATGGGGCAGAGTCCTCATGGCCTCTGTTTGCCTGTGGCCCTGATCGCTGCCTTGGCGGAGGGGAGAAGTCGGCTGTGCTGCTGTCATCATCCGAGGACAGCGGCGTGTATGTCTCTGAAGGCGCCATCTTGGCAGGTGCAGGCCGAGCGGTCGTGCACATAAAGGTGCCAATATCTTGTGACCCTGCGCCCAGATCCGAGCGCATTTTTTTTATTCTTCTTCCCCATATCGTCGGGGATCGGGCTGCAGCTCCAATGGCTCGCTATCAAGGTTAGTGGCAGCTCGTTTCACTGTTTACTTGGGCCGTCTTGCGCAGCAGATCTGAGATACGTCCGGCTTGTTGAGGTGTCGGCTCCGCCCCTCCTCCCCTTTTTTTATCCTGATGTCCATATTTTCTAGGTGCTGCATATTAATAATGTGTCTGAATATAGAACAAAGATCCACAGCAATAATACTTACAAAAATGTGTCTTTAAACTACAATAAGTGTGTTTAGAAATAATTTTGTGTAGGTCAGATACATTGTTAATGTTCTAAATGACATATTAGTTACAAAAACTGGTATTAGGGAGTCACGAAAATGTCTCAGAACAGCCCTGCCCCTGGTCACACCCCCACTCACAAATCTATAATTAAAGTGTCCCACTTGATCCCTTTGAAAAGGTGGGAGGTATGCATTAGCAATATAAACCTGAAACAAGTTTAAAAAATATTTAAAGCACATATGTACTGATATTATTGTGTTTATCACTTTCTGATTATAACATATTTTTTTATACATCCATTGATTATGAATCAGGAAGTGCTTGGGTGCTGATAAGCAATCTTGAACTGTGAAAAAATAAGTAGAAGAGGTACTGTAGACATGTCAACATGTGCATAGTCAGTGTTTCATCTAATAAAATCAATGGGAGCCATTTGTGCATGTGTATTACAAATGAAATAGTTTTCAATCAACATGGAAGCTAACTACATTAAAATTGCAAAAGCTGCTGGAATAATTCCTGCTCCAGGGTCCCCCAAGGACTCTGGCTCCACAGAAGGGGCACTTGACTGCCTCCATATGGCAGTACCTATCCACTCTGGCATCCATTCGCTGGGAGCAGAGAGCCCACATGCCTTTGACCACTCTGGGCCACCATCTCCCAGCCCAGAGAGTGAATGGCGGGCTCAGCAACTTGTCCAACTTGCAACTTGCCCAACAAAGATGACCTGCGGCAGGCTAACACAGTTCTACAGGTATGTATCTTGGCAGACTTCCAGTTAGGTCTCATTGCTAGAGTGGTCCATATCGAGGTGGAATGTGATGTGCTGTCGGTTGAGCAGGCTACCACAGCTACAGACCTGCATGCACAGTCAGAACAGATTCAGGCGATGGCCCTCCACATGGAGGACTTGGATAACCTTGGCAGGCATAACAACTTAAAGATCCGAGGCCAGCCAAAGACAGAGTAGTCACCTGAGAGCCACAGAAAAGATTTACTAGAAGGCCACTGACGACAGAGGAATTATTTGTTGTGGTAAAAAAGTGTGAAACCAGGCAAATGCCAGGCCCGGATGGATTTTTCCACCGTTATTGCAAACAGTTAGCAGACATCCTATACCTTCTATACCCCTACTTCCTGACAGCTTATTACTCATTTACCCAGGGAGGGGTCATTCCTGTACAGATGCTGGTGGCCAATATAACCATCATACCCAAAGAGGGAAAATACTTACAGAAGTGTGCAAACTACAAGCCAATATCCCTCCTTAACTGCAACCTGAAATGATTTGCAAAAATCCCCAACCTCCAGATTACGACCCTGCCTACCAACTCTCATCCAAGCAGACCAGGTCGGCTTCATACAACAACAAAAAGCCAGAAACAAAACAACTAGGGCCATTTCCCAAGCACAGGCGCAGACCGAGGGCCTCCGCTTGTTGTCTGCACACAGGGAGAAGGCCTTTGACAGAGTCAGATGGGATTTCCTGTTCACTTGCTTGGAGGCTATAGGGTTAGGGCCTAAATTATACATGTGAATATGCGCCCACTATCAAAACAACACGGACAGGGTTGGTGTTTATAGGGCCTATACTGACCAGTTCACCATATACAATTGCACTAGACAGGGTTGCTCATTGTTGTCCCTACTCCTTATCAGGCATCTGGGCTTCTCACACGCACACCCACAAATCTGACACATGATGGTGGAGGGCAAAATGATACAGCTAAATTGCGAATGTCCCAGGTCACCAGTTTGGTGGTCAGACCAGGTGCTGGAAGTGCCACAAGGGGTGCAGGGGGGAATGCAAAGGAGAGATGGAAATATGTTACACAGTACAAGCCTGCTACCTCAGAGTCACCAGGAAAACAATGTAGCATCACCTATGTAATGTGATTTGTTAATCTCTATGCAAGAAACATGATTTCTTGTGTTTCTAGTTTTGCTTTCTTTATACTTTCCATGAACAAAGTTATTGAATGTAAATTGCTCAAGTTATTGAAAAAAATATGCAAGGACATGTGAGTTTCCTATTGTTCTGATTTTTGTTTACATGTGAACGGTGCTACAAGACATGAAATAATATACATCTGAGTTGGGGACCATAATGTCCTACTGTGTTAAACTGTGTTAAATTGTCCTACTGTGTTAAAAAAAATCAAAAACAATATTTACAAAAATATCTTCCTTTAATGTCCTCTTACAAAAATGCTAATCCAATATATTCCATAGAACATCACATTTTGAAATTGAAAAAAAATTATTAATGTATTAATGGATGCGTTAAAATATGACTATAAAATATTTGTATATCTAATCCTTTCATATTCACAGAAAAAGTTGTTTCTTAGCATAACCCTAGACAAATTATTTTTTGATTGCATAGTGTGAGTTAGTTTACATGCAGCATTTTACCTACTGGCCATGCTGATAACAGAGCTGTTATCATCAGTTCCCTAGAGATTAATGTATTTACTAACTTCTATGAGATATTACATCAATACATTTTAACAGTGTCTGACAGAGACATAAAGGATCTATTAAATTAGATTCAAGTTTCTATTAAATTACTAGGCAGAAACAGCTAGACTCCTCTTATCTCCAGACAAAATTAACGGATGCTATTAGGGGCTAGAATTCAAGGAAAGCTCCCCAGGAGAAAAATACAAACTAATAAAGTGAGCCCTTGAGAGAATTATGCTACGGATAGATATGCTGAAAATGGTTGGATATATGCATATTAGCATGTAGGTGCTGATCCTTTCTTTAAACGTAAAGAAAAAAATCTTCTCCTCCAGCTTTGAGCTGATCGAATTACTCACAAACAGCATTACTCTGATTGTGAAAACTAATTCTTAATTTAGAATGTAATGTGTCTAATTAGATTTTAGTTTGAGGCCTAAGTAGATTCAATAAAGGAGACTTTTTAATTAAAAAAACTATTTCACTAGCAACATTTTAAATAAGAAATACGTTGGTACATTGCCATGGTTTTGTGTGAATTAGATTTTCCGCATCTGTTGAAACATTTTGCCTTTTCAGAAATCCATGAACAAGAATTCTTAGTTATTATTTTCTTTTTCTTAAGCACAAGATAAAGCAGATATATTAAACACTGATATGGCCCATTAAATGTCTTACAATTCTAAAAAAAAGCATTTCGAGACATAATAACTAGTAAGTGCTATGTCATATCACCTTGCAATACCAGAAGACCCTTTGGCCCTTATTTTTTCTTGTTTGATTGCTGCAACTATTTTTACATATTTACATAGTAGCTGAGTTGGAAGAACATAGATCACTACAGAGAAATAATGTTTTCCAGTCTTTGTATCTTTATGGCAATGTCACACTTAGCTGTGTCAATTTTGTTTTACATTTCAGCAGAAGTTCTGGTCCAGGCTGGCACAATATAATTTGGTGCAGATTTACAAATCTCTCATTTCACTTTATTAAGATGCTCTAGGATGGGCTAACATCATAGAAACATAGAAACATAGAATGTGACGGCAGATAAGAACCATTCGGCCCATCAAGTCTGGCCAATGTTCTAATTACTTTCATATGTCCCTAGTCTTATCTTATAGTTAGGATAGCCTTATGCCTATCCAACGCATGCTTAAACTCCTTTACTGTGTTAACCTCTACCACTTCAGCTGGAAGGCTATTCCATGCATCCAGTAAAGTAATACTTCCTGATATTATTTTTAAACCTTTGTCCCTCTAATTTAAGACAATGTCCTCTTGTTGTGGTAGTTTTTCTTTTTTAAATATAGTCTCCTCCTTTACTCTGTTGATTCCCTTTATATATTTAAATGTTTCTATCATATCCCCCCTGTCTCGTCTTTCCTCCAAGCTATACATGTTAAGATCCTTTAACCTTTCCTGGTAAGTTTTATCCCGCAATACATGAACCAGTTTAGTGGCCCTTCTCTGAACCTTCTCTAAGGTATCAATATCCTTCTGAAGATACGGTCTCCAGTACTGTGTACAATACTCCAAGTGAGGTCTCACCAGTGTTCTGTACAATGGCATGAGCACTTCCCTCTTTCTACTGCTAATACCTCTCCCTATACAACCAAGCATTCTGCTAGCATTTCCTGCTGCTCTATTACATTGTCTGCCTACCTTTAAGTCATCAGAAATAATCACCCCTAAATCCCTTTCCTCAGATGCTGAGGTTAGGACTCTATCAAATATTCTGTACTCTGCCCTTGGGTTTTTACGTCCAAGATGCATTATCTTGCACTTATCCACATTAAATGCCAGTTGCCACAACTCTGACCATTTTTCTAGTTTACCTAAATCATTTGCCATTTGGCTTATCCCTCCTGGAACATCAACCTATAAATTTTATTTCTCCTATTTTACAAGTGCTCTGCTTCTGCCTGCCCCTGCTATCGTGCATCAGCTCCCACTCCTCCCCTTCCTCTTCCCATGTGTTACACTAGCTCGTGTTTGCACGCCCACGCATGCATGCATTCTCTTGTTCGCGTGCATGCATTCTCTTGTTCTCACGAGTTTGCACGCGTTTGTATGTTTTCATGCATGTTTGTGGACTCCCGCCCCCCCACCCACTCTCTCGATGGAAGGAGGAATCCTGAAACTCCCACTAGTGGGCGGTAGGGACCAGGTTGACGACCCATGGTCTAAACATTATATCCCAAGTCTTTAATGTTGTCGTGGTTGTGGGAAGTATTTTCCTGATTTTATGGAGCAAATGATGAGGTAACCATAACAGTTCTTTAATCGAATATGGAAGTAACTTTTATTTTTCAATTAATAACCACTGAGGTAGATCGGCAGTCAGATTAAACTTAAAGGACTGTGCGGCATTCGTTGTAAAATAATAGCTTTGAAAATCAGGTACACCCAAACCACCATTCGCTCTGAGATGTTGCAGTATAGACAATTTGATCCTACTAGGTTTGCTTGACCAAATATATTTTATTATAGCCAAATTAAGTTTCTTAAAAAAGGAAAGAGGTATGGACAATGGAATGGCCCTGCAAAGTATAGTATTTTCAGGAGAATATTCATCTTTAGTGCATGTATTTTACCCAGTCATGATATCTCCAGCTCCTGCCTGGGCATCGGACAGACCATGAAACATAAAAGGGCATAGCCTATGTCTTAGTTTCATTGAGTTTATAATAGGAAACAGCCCCAAATTGTTTTAATATGTGCATCAAGGAATCAAGAGATGCAACTGGGTTCCTTAAATACAAAATTATATCGTCTGCAAAGAGCACAATTTTATAAGTGACACCACCAATTGCAACACCCTTGGGTCATTCCTAATTTGTTTGGCCAGGGGTTCCATTGCCAGAATAAAATTATAAATGGGGACAGGGGACAACCCTGTCTCATACCATTAGTAAGTATAAAACCCGTGGCTGACACTCTAGCTGTAGGATGATGATACAGAGCAAATATTGCATTTACTAGTGGAGTCGTAAAACCAAATTTGAACAAAACCTCTTTCAAATATCCCCAGTGTATTCTATCAAACACCTTCTCTGCGTCCAATGAAGGAAGCAGAGAAGGCACACGATCTTTTTTAATTTCATGAATAATATTGATAAACCTCTTAGTGCCATCCATGGCTTGTCTGTCTAACATAAATCCAACCTGATCATTTTTAACAAGTTTAGGGATTATTTGGGCCAATTTAGAAGTCAAAACTTTGGCATATAATTATGAATCGTTGTTGAGCAACAAAATAGGCTTAAAATTAGCACATTTATTTGGATCCTCATCCGGTTTGGGAAGAGTCACAATCTGGGCGCACAGTGCTTCACCGGGCATACCACCTTTATTCTAATACAAATTAAATAGCCCAGTGTAGGACAAAATAGTTGAAAATGTGCTATACTAATGCATGGTAAAACCATCCAGTCCCAGTGCTTTACCAGTAGGAGTATTTTTATTTGCCTCCAACACCTCATCCTGGGTTATAGCTAAATTTAG